CATCCTTGACAGCTAAGGTCAGAGAAGTAAATCGGTCCATCTCCTACTCCATACTTGCCATTGAGTGACACAACAGGTACTATTATATACAATAGATTTTATGTAGTAAGATTAGAATAGCACTATAGGCTATACCAGAGTCTGCATATCCCAACTGTTTGCAGACAACCCTAGCATCATTAGTATCCCACCCACTGCTGCAGACTGAGCCCCAAACTCCATCAACACACACTTCTACTCTTCCTTCCTGATATACTGATCCATTGACTAAACGGACACTGCCATCAGTGCATGAACTATCTTGTCCTAACAAGAAAATAGAATATTTACATATGACTACATGACTATAATGCAGCTCACTATAGCATCTAATAGCTTTAGGAGATGCACAGCTTAGAGAGCTAGAAATGCAAGATGAATATGAATATGATGAAGATGAAGATACTGAACAGCTAGACAAATCCGATTCAGTAGCATAGCTACTACATGAGATAGTGAGTGGGGAATAGCCTTGTTCCCAGGAATCCAGATCAGATAGAGAAATAAACCCTATTGAATACATTGTGTACATAACATTTCATATACTCTGATACTTTTACTTGCGAATGGTTCATAACCCAATTGTTTACAAGCTATAGTTGCTTCCTTATCACCCAACGAACAAAATTGAACCCAAACACCATTATAACAATAGTGTAATACTCCTTCTGAATCAGTTGCACCTCCTGTCAGTTGTACTGATCCTGACTCAGGGCAATTAGCAGTATCTAATGAATACCTTGTGTATTAATAATATGACACATGGTGGCTTACTGTTAGTATTTTCTCCAATACACTGCACTCCAGCAGCATAACTAGAGGATTGACAAGAATAATAATAAGAGCTACTGCAACTTGTAAGTGATGATTCAGAACCAGAACAAGAGTAGTAATATCGTCTGGAATAACCAGTGGAACCAAAATATTGCTGGGCATTTTGATAATAAGTACCTGCATATTAAGTGCACAAAGATATCATGATCTCGACATAATAATATTACATATTCATAATAATTTATATTAGACATTTAAAACTGAGCGGTTCTTACTGGCTCCTAAGTATCCTAGCTGACGACAAGCGACATTAGCTTCAGGACAATCCCATCCCACATTACATGCATTGTTCCAATAACCAGAATAACAATATTGAACTGTTCCTCTGCCTGCTTGACTTACACTACCATGATTGTATAGTCGTACAGAGCCAGATGAACAACCTTTAATATAGATTGGAAATAAAATAAAAGGAGAGTCCTTTTCTTACCATACACTAAAGAAACAGAGGAAAGGAGGAACAAGAAAAAAGTAACTACGACTGCCATAACTTGATTAAAGCATTTGCGCTATGATGCTAGCTACAGCCTATGCGCGCAAAAAAATTTATGCACCTCCCTCTGAAAAAGGGAGGGGCTGGGCTGCAGCAAGCTAGCATCATAGATATTAGAGTAAATCTAATTAGAGTACCATAGATATTAGTTTAAACATTATGTCATATTTAGAGCAGAATTAGCAGATAAGAGGATTATAAAAGAAATTGCACTAAAGGCAAATGAAACAAGGGAACTACTGCTTCATGAACTAGTACAGCACTGAGGACAGACAGATGCAGCTAACAACTAATGAAGAGTTAAGACATGAAATATTTAAAAAATAACCAAGTAATAAAGTTGTGTGGGTGTTCTGATAGTCCCTTGCAACCCATTGCTCCAGCTTTAGAAATGGCTTGATGAAGAGAAAGATGCTATAGACTCAGTCCTAATGTCTTTGTCCACTGTTAGCTAGCTCTGATAGCATCCTTTCTTGTCGGCGCTATCTTAATTTCTGTGGACTTTGAGAAAGTGGCATCCCATTTTACACTGACAGCAGGAGTAGGAAAGTCAAGGAGCTCAGCAAGGAGATAGCAGCTGAATATTTCAATGCTCTATCAAGAGAACACCAGATCACACTCGTGCTAACCCATCAGGATAAACCGATAGCTAGCAAGAAGGCAATGATTGAGAAAAGGAGAGAAATAGCTCAAAAGTACAGCGATCCTTCAATACGTATATCATTACCAGAGAGCTGGAGAGCTTATGTTGTTCTGCCAAATGTCGTTGAGTTCTTTCAAGGCCACACTGACTGGCTTGATGATAGAATCGTCTTTACAAAGGAAGATGAGAAGTGGAATATTAAGCGTCTTTTACCTTGAGTCATTGAACAATATGAAAATTATAATGGTTCTTGTGTGAATAAGTTGTTATAATGCAACTTGAATCAAAAATAAATAATTTCATTTACTTATCGTGGAAAATGTGAAGTACACCTGCTATCAAAGACAAAATTTAAACATGAAACATTGTCAGGAAACATTCAATATTCTAGTTTGACTATAATGTACATACATAGCACCTGATTCCAACATGTGCAGCACCCAAAGCAAATTTATATGTCCACATTACCCTTTTAAAGAAATCACAAAACTAAAATGCTTAGTAATACCAAATAACACAGTTTATGCATGTATAGTTTATTATTTTAGTGCAGGTATTTCATATAGAGGTTCTTTTTCATTTGCATCAATACTATAGGCTTCCTCTTGAGATGTGGCTGGAAATTCATCTTGAGATACATTTTTGAGATCATCATTATCATCATCATCGTCCTCATTAACCATCTCGTATCTTGCATCAACATTAGTCAGTTGTATTGATGGAAGGGGACGACTTGTGAGTCTCCTTTTCTTTCTAATGTCCCTCAATTTTGATCCTACAATGACACACCTGAAGAATAAAATTGTTACTTAAATAATATTTTCACTGGAAAAATAATAAAATAACAGAAATTGATAGTATCTAGATTAACATACATAACAATAAGCAACACCAATACAACAGCACCCAGGATACAAAATGCTATAAAATAAGGATCCTCAGATTTTGCAGCAGAATTCACTGTAGGTGTGGTCATGATGCAAGCAACAGCAGCTATTTCATCAGTTGTATCAGCTAATTGCTTTGCAACATTTAGTGGATATAATACTTTATCACAATCATCCAGTGAGGATTCTATTCCATTGCAAGTAACATTAGATAGAAATACAGCTCTTCTTTGATTATCATTTTGATTATCATAAGCAGAAACGTCAGGCCTACCTATATAAAAGAGAGAAAGAGTATAGG